CACTTTATCCAGCCCCTGTGCTCCTTTAGTTAACAGTTTAACTTAGCTTGGTAACTAACGTTAGTTGGGCGCTAGGACACTGCCCAAGAAAACCGTTCCCATTTTCCCGAGGTAATTAGCTAACTAACTAGTTCGCACGGTCGGTAGCCAGCCTAGTTTGCTAGCGTTAGTTGGCTTACTAAGCTAGCTATCTAAAGCGCCAGTTACCTAGCTATCCTTTTAACCTGTAGTTAGGTAGCTAACTAGCTAGTTGGTTTGCCGTAAGCCTAGTAAACTATTATAAATGAAAATGTAGTCATTATCGTGTCTGTCAAAACATCACCTTGACAAAGTTTCCCAGTTAGCTTACTCTGTTTGCCTTCCCCTTCTAACTAGCTAGCTTTGCTAGCTAACCTTCCTAGCTAACGTCACAGGTTGTGAATGCACTGTCATGAAAGTAGCCTTGTTGGACGAGGCCCTGTAACTGAGGCCTTCAGCAGTATAGCTAGTTAGCGCTTTAGATATTTAGCATGTTAAAAATCGACCAACATACAAGTCAATCGTTTTATTGGCTTCTAAAGTAGCTAACTATTGGGCAACTCTGCTGCCTGGATCAGTTTTGACCCCAGCTAGTTATACAAACTAGCTAGCTAACGAACTAGCTAGCTAGCTATGTTGACAAGCTCTGTTTGGGAGTGTAGGCTCGCTGTGCCAGTTAACGTTAGCTAACTTTTAGCACGACTGTTGTAGTCAATCAGTTGCATGCCCTCAAAGTTGGTGGTCCACATAACTAGCTAGCTAGCTGGGTATAGCAGTTACACGTTTTTCAAATTCATGCCTGTCTACTCTGGTCTTAAATAATGAGGGCTATCAGTTCTGCACTGGCATTGTAGCTACAGTGCCTTGCAAAAGTATTCTTCTCCCTTGGCGTTTTTCCTATTTTATTGCATTACAACCTGTAATTTAAATGGATTTTTATTTGGATTTCATGTAATGGACATACACAAAATAGTCCAAATTGGTGAAGTGAAATGAAAAAAATAATTAACGGAAAACTGGTGCATGCATATGTATTCACCCCCTTTGCTATGAAGCCCCTAAATAAGATCTGGTGCAACCAATTACCTAAAGAAGTCACATAATTAGTTAAATAAAGTCCACCTGTGTGCAATCTAAGTGTCACATGATCTGTCACATGATCTCAGTATGTATACACCTGTTCTGAAAGGCCCCAGAGTCTGCAACACCACTAAACAAGGGGCACCATGAAGACCAAGGAGCTCTCCAAACAGGTCAGGGACAAAGTTTTGGAGAAGTACAGATCAGGGTTGGGTTATAAAAAAACATCCCACGGAGCACCATTTAAATCCATTATTAAAAAATGGAAAGAATATGGCACCACAACTAACCTGCCAAGAGAGGACTGCCCACCAAAACTCATGGAGCAGGCAAGGAGGGCATTAATCAGAGAGACCAAAGATAACCCTGAAGGAGCTGCAAAGCTCCACAGCGGAGATTGGAGGATCTGTCCATAGGACCACTTTAAGCCGTACACTCCACAGAGCTGGGCTTTATGGAAGAGTGGACAGAAAAAAGCCATTGCTTAAAGAAGAAAAAAAAGCAAACACGTTTGGTGTTCGCCAAAAGGCAAGTGGGAGACTCCCCAAACATATGGAAGAAGGTACTCTGGTCAGATGAGACTAAAATTGTGCTTTTTGGCCATCAAGGAAAACGCTATGTCTGGCGCAAACCCAACACCCCTCATCACCCCGAGAACACCATCCACACAGTGAAGCATGGTGGTGGCAGCATCATGCTGTGGGGATGTTTTTCATTGGCAGGGACTGGGAAACTGGTCAGAATTGAAGGAATGATGGAAGGCTGCTAAATACAGGGAAATTCTTGAGGGAAACCTGTTTCAGACTTCCAGAGATTTGAGATTGGGACGGAGGTTCACCTTCCAGCAAGACAATGACCCTAATCATACTGCTAAAGCAACACTAGAGTGGTTTAAGGGGAAACATTTAAATGTCTTGGAATGGCCTAGTCAAAGCCCAGACCTCAATCCAATTGAGAATCTGTGGTATGATTTAAAGATTGCTGTACACCAGCGGAACCCATCCAACTTGAAGGAGCTGGAGCAGTTTTTCCTTGAAGAATGTGCAACAATCCCATTGGCTAGATGTGCCAAGCTTATAGAGACATACCCCAAGAGACTTAATAATAATAATATGCCATTTAGCAGACGCTTTTATCCAAAGCGACTTACACTCATGTGTGCATACATTTTTACGTATGGGTGGTCCTGGGGATCGAACCCACTACCCTGGCGTTACAAGCGCCATGCTCTACCAATTGAGCAGCTGTAATTGATGCAAAAGGTGGCTCTACAAAGTATTGACTTTGGGGGGGTGAATAGTTATGCACGCTCAAGTTTTCTGTTTCTTTGTCTTGTTTGTTTCACACAAAAAACATATTTTGCATCTTCAAAGTGGTAGGCATGTTGTGTAAATCAAATGATACAAACCCCCCCAAAAATCCATTTTAATTCCAGGTTGTAAAAATGCCAAGGGGGGGGTGAATACTTTCGCAAGCCAATGTATGTTGGCCAATTCAGTTCTGTCTCTTTTAATTACCCACATGGACGCTGGAAATGTGAAACTGCTGTTTGTCTGTGTAGCCAATAGGCTAGTTCATGTTGTGTTATGCCAATATGTTGGTTGTGTATTATGATAGCTAGCTAAATGCTGCAACGTGTAGGCTTTATTGCTGTGTGTTTTGTCGTGCGGTTTATAATATAATATAAATAATAATTAGTCATTTAGCAGACGCTCTTATCCAGAGCGACTTACAGGAGCAATTAGGGTTAAGTGCCTTGCTCAAGGGCACATCGACAGATTTTTCACCTAGTCGGCTCGGGGATTAGAACCAGCGACCTTTCGGTTACTGGCACAACGCTCTTAACCACTAAGCTACCTGCCGGTTTGACCAATACCCTGTACTGTCTGTGAATTGTCTTTCCCCAGGTGTGAGCTGCGACGCGTGTTTGAAAGGTAACTTCCGGGGGCAGCGGTACAAGTGTTTAATTTGCTACGACTACGACCTGTGTGCGTCGTGCTACGAGGGCGGAGCCACCACCACCAGACACACGACAGAACACGCCATGCAGTGCATACTAACCAGGGTCGACTTCGGTAAGTACACACACACTCCTGCGTGTACAGTACCAGTCAAAAGTTTGGACACAGCTACTCATTCCAAGGGTTTTCTTAATTTTTTTTACTATTTTCTACATAGTTTTCAATCAGTTGTGTTGTGACAAGGTAGGGGCGGTATACAGAAGATAGCCCTATTTGGTAAAATACCAAGTCCATATGTCAAGAACAGCTCAAATAAGCAAAGAGAAACGACAGTCCATCATTACTTTAAGACATAACAGAACTTTGAACGTTTCTTCAAGTGCAGTCGTAAAAACTATCAAACTGGCTCTCATGAGGACCGCCACAGGAAAGGAAGACCCAGAGTTACCTCTGCTGTAGAGGATAAGTTCATTAGTTACCAGCCTCAGAAATTGCAGCCCAAATAAATGCTTCACAGAGTTCAAGTAACAGACACATCTCAACATCAACTGTTCAGAGGAGACTGCATGAATCAGGCCTTCGTGGTCGAATTGCTGCAAAGAAACCTCTACTAAAGGACACCAATAAGAAGAAGAGACTTGCTTGGGCAAAGAAACACGAGCAATGGACATTAGACCGGTGGAAATGTGTCCTTTGGTCTGGAGTCCAAATTGGAGATTTTTGGGTCCAACAACCGTGTCTTTGTGAGACGCAGAGTAGGTGAACGGATGATCTCCGCATGTGTATTTCCCACCGTGAAGCATGGAGGAGGAGGTGTTATGGTGTGGGGGTGCTTTGCTGGTCACACTGTGATTTATTTAGAATTCAAGGCACACTTAACCAGCATGGCTACCACAGCATTCTGGAGCGATACGCCATCCCATCTGGTTTGCGCTTAGTGGGACTATGATTTGTTTTTCAACACACCTCCAAGCTGTGTAAGGGCTATTTCACCAAGGAGAGTGATGGAGTGCTGCATCAGATGAACTGGCCTCCACAATCACCCGACCTCAACTCAATTGAGATGGTTTGGGATGAGTTGGACCGCAGAGTGAAGGAAAAGCGGCCATGAAGTGCTCAGCATATGTGGGAACTCCTTCAAGACTGTTGGAAAACTATTCCTCATGAAGCTGGTTGAGAGAATGCCAAGACTGTTCAAAGCTGTCTTCAAGGCAAAGGGTGGCTACTTTGAAGAATCTCAAATAGAAAATATATTTTGATTTGTTTAACACTTTTTTGGTTGCTACATGATTCCATGTGTGTTATTTCATAGTTTTGATGTCTTCACTATTATTCTACAATGTAGAAAATAGTAAAAATAAAGAAAAACCCTTGTGTCCAAACTTTTCACTGGATCTCCCGAGTGGTGCAGTGGTCTAAGGCACTGCATCGCAGTGCTAGCTGTGCCACTAGAGATCCTGGTTCGAATCCAGGCTCTGTCGTAGCCGGCCGCGACCGGGAGACCCATGGGGCGGCGCACAATTGACCAGGGTAGGGGAGGGAATGGCCGGCAGGGATGTAGCTCAGTTGGTAGAGCATGGCGTTTGCAACGCCAGGGTTGTGGGTTCTATTCCCACGGGGGGCCAGTATGAAAAATAAAAAAAGAATGTATGCACTCACTCTGGATAAGAGCGTCTGCTAAATGACTAATGTAAATGTACTGTATACACACTACATACGCATCACAACTACACACACCTCACACCATGCAGTGCATACTAACCAGGGTCTGCTTCACTAAGTACAAAGCTATTACAACCACAGGCCCCCCCCCACCATAACCACACGGCAGACGTAAAAGACAAACACCACTTTTAAACACCCTGAGAACTGATTTGAATTACGTCAGCGCGTTGATTCTGCCTGCACTGATTCAGTCCTCTGTCCTTCCAGACCTGTATTATGGAAGGGAGGCCCCTGCGTTCACTTGTCCTTGCTGTCTAACCCCTCTCTCCTCTCCTGTCTGTGTCATTATAGACCTATATTATGGAGGAGAGGCCTTCTCGGTGGAGCAGCCCCAGGCCTTCACCTGTCCCTACTGTGGCAGGATGGGCTATACGGAGACGTCCCTCCAGGAGCACGTTGCTGCGGAGCACACAGAGACCTCCTCAGAGGTGGTGAGTGGACAGGCATAGAAACACACAAGTCTGAGTCATTAGCCAAGCACCAGGGTACATCCCTGCTGTGGAAAACCCTGTGGTGTAAATCATTGCGGTGGAACTCCCTGCATTGTAGATTTCTGCGGTGGCAAACCCTGAAGTGGAAACCCCTGTGGTGTAGATTTCTACAGTGGAAAACCCTGTGGTGTAGATTTCTACAGTGGAAAACCCTGTGGTGTAGATTTCTACAGTGGAAAACCCTGTGGTGTAATCACTGCAGTGGAAAACCTGTGCGTAAATCCTGCAGTGGAAAACCCTGTGGTGTAGATTTCTACAGTGGAAAACCCTGTGGTGTAGATTTCTACAGTGGAAAACCCTGTGGTGTAGATTTCCTACAGTGGAAAACCCTGTGGTGTAAATCCTGCAGTGGAAAACCCTGTGGTGTAGATTTCTACAGTGGAAAACCCTGTGGTGTAGATTTCTACAGTGGAAAACCCTGTGGTGTAAATCACTGCAGTGGAAAACCCTGTGGCGTAAATCCCTGCAGTGGAAAACCCTGTGGTGTAGATTTCTACAGTGGAAAACCCTGTGGTGTAGATTTCTACAGTGGAAAACCCTGTGGTGTAGATTTCTACAGTGGAAAACCCTGTGGCGTAAATCCCTGCAGTGGAAAACCTTGGGTAGATTCATCAGTGGAAACCCTGTGGTGTAGATTTCTACAGTGAAACCCGTGGTGTAGATTTCTCAGTGGAACCCTGTGGCGTAAATTCCCCAGTGGAAAACCCTGTGGTGTAGATTTCTACAGTGGAAAACCCTGTGGCGTAATCTACAGTGGAAACCCTGTGGTGTAGATTCTACAGTGAAAAGCCTGTGGTGTAGATTTCTACAGTGGAAACCCTGTGGGTAGATTTCTACAGTGAAACCCTGTGGCGTAGATTCCCTACAGTGGAAAACCCTGTGGTGTAATTCTACAGTGGAAACCCTGTGGTGTAGATTTCTACAGTGGAAACCCTGTGGTGTAGATTTCTACTGGAAACCCTGTGGCGTAAATCCTGCAGTGAAACCCTGTGGTTTATTTCTACGTGGAAACCCTGTGTTTAATTTCTACAGTGGAAGCCTGTGTGTAGATTTCTACGTGAACCCTGGGTGTAGATTTCTCGGGAAACCTGGGTGTAGATTCTACAGTGGAAACCCTGTGGGTAATCTACATGAAAACCTGTGGTTAGATCTAAGTGAAAGCCCTGTGTGTAGATTTTCTCAGCGAACCTGTGTTGATCTCAGCAAACCCTGTAGACCAGGAAACTTGTGTATCTACAGGGAAAACCTGTCGTCCCCTGAAATACATCATGCTCTAATTAGAAGAGGGTGCAATGTCCCAGCATTCAGCCATGCTCAGTATGAACGCAAAAGACTTTATGGTTCAAATGTTGATTGAAGCTCTTCCCTCCCTCTGCATGATCTGTCCATATGGCGTCGGCCCGCGGACCCAATCACGTGACCGACGACTTCGCTGCTCATCTCACACTTGAACACAGAGCCCCCAGAGACTTGATATCCTTTACCCCTCTCAACCTGGTTCCTCTTGGTTTCTTGGTTCTAGGGAGTTTTTTACTATTTTCACCGTCCTTTCGCTTCTGCTTTGCTCGCTCTTTGGGGTCTAGACCGGCGAAATGGAAAGCACTCTTGGGACAACTGCTGATGTAAAAAGGGGCTATGTAAAATAAATGTGATTGATTTGGTCTACTATTGTCTGCTCTGCAGTCTAAACCCTAAACCAGATTCTTGATATCCTTCACAGACAGACTACAACTCTGCTCTGCTCTTAGAAATACAATACAATGCTCTAATTGTAAGGGGCATTCCACAGCAGTTCCACCATGTAACATGTCTAACGTGGAAAACCCCTTCAGGTCAGTGTAAAGCTCCCTGGCCATGCTGCATGGAACCACAGGGCCATCCGCTGAACAGCACTGGGTACTGCAACAAACTGTCTGTGTCTGTCTGTCTGTCTGTCTGTCTGTCTGTCTCTCTGTCTCTGTCTGTCTGTGGCTCATTATGTCTAATGTGAGTGTTGCAGTTTTAGCCTCTTGTGAGTGTGTGTTTTTAGATCGGGGCAGAGAGAGTGCGTGTGTGTGTGTATTTCATGACGTGTCCGTGATGTTCCTTGACGGTGTTGCTCCACGATGAGTCGAGCGGGGTGCGGCACGTGCGTCGGATGTTCCACCCGGGTCGGGGTCTGGGGGGGCCGAGGGCCCGGCGCTCCAACATGCACTTCACCTCCTCAACCTCCGGAGGGGGCTCTACCACACAGACCTCTACCCAGAGCTCCAGCTACAACAGGGAAGCCATGGATCCTATAGCAGGTAGGACAGACACAGACACATACACACACACACACACACACATACACACACACACACACACACACACACAGAGACAACCTCCACAGACCACTACATCAGAGAGACACACACACATATACACACACACACACAGACCACCTCACAGAGCTCGAACTACATCAGAGAGACACAACACCATATACACACACACACACAGACCACCTCACAGAGCTCAAACTACATCAGAGAGACACACACACACACAGACCACCTCACAGAGCTCGAACTACATCAGAGAGACACACACACACACAGACCACCTCACAGAGCTCAAACTACATCACACACACACACACACACAGACCACCTCACAGAGCTCGAACTACATCAGAGAGACACACACACACACAGACCACCTCACAGAGCTCGAACTACATCACACACACACACACACACAGACCACCTCACAGAGCTCGAACTACATCAGAGAGACACACACACACACAGACCACCTCACAGAGCTCGAACTACATCAGAGACACACACACACACACACACACACACACACACACACACACACATATACACACACACACACACAGACCACCTCACAGAGCTCGAACTACATCACACACACACACACACAGACCACCTCACAGAGCTCGAACTACATCAGAGACACACACACACACACACATACACACACACACACAGACCACCTCACAGAGCTCAAACTACATCACACACACACACACACAGACCACCTCACAGAGCTCGAACTACATCAGAGAGACACACACACACACAGACCACCTCACAGAGCTCGAACTACATCACACACACAGACCACCTCACAGAGCTCGAACTACATCAGAGAGACACACACACACACACACATATATACACACACACACACACAGACCACCTCACAGAGCTCGAAATACATCACACACACACACACACAGACCACCTCACAGAGCTCGAACTACATCACACACACAGACCACCTCACAGAGCTCGAACTACATCACACACACACACACACAGACCACCTCACAGAGCTCGAACTACATCACACACACACACACAGACCACCTCACAGAGCTCGAACTACATCACACACTCACACACACAGACCACCTCACAGAGCTCGAACTACATCACACACACACACACAGCAGATTTGTCCAAAGAGAACATGCACTGTGCAACACGCCCTTTATAGACCAGGCTAGACAGTAAAGACAGTGTTTTGTGTTGCAATGACCCATTGCTTGAAGTTATCCTGATTTGGTTTCGGTGCCTGATGTGTTTTTAATGACTGGCACCGGCCACACGGACAGACGGAGCGGGTTCAGACAGACGGCCACACGGACAGACGGAGCGGGTTCAGACAGACGGCCACACGGACAGACCAAAGTATTAAATCCCTATTTATTTATTTATACTGTACAACGTACATTCTATTGTGTACATAGGTAGCTTAGTGGGTAAGAGCGTTGTGCCAGTAACCGAAAGGTCGCTGGTTCTAATCCCCGAGCCGACTAGGTGAAAAATCTGTCGATGTGCCCTTGAGCAAGGCACTTAACCCTAATTGCTCCTGTAAGTCGCTCTGGATAAGAGCGTCTGCTAAATGACTAAAATGTAATGTAAATGTACATAAAAGTGCTGCTTGATGACAGTGCCTTCAGAAAGTATTCACACCCCTTGACTGTTTCCACATTTTTTTGTTGTGTTCCAGCCTGAATTTAAATAGTGTAAAGTACATGTCGGATAAAAGATGATACGACAGGATGTAAACTGCTGCACTGAACAAAAAATGTAAATGCAACATGTAAAGTGTTGGTCCCATGTTTCATGAGCTGAAATAAAAGATCCCAGAAATGTTCCGTATGCACAAAAAGCTTATTTCTCAACAAATGTGTTTGTTATCCCTGTTAGTGAGCATTTCTCCTTTGCCAAGATAATCCATCCACTTGACAGGTGTGGTATACAGTGCCTTCGGAAAGTATTCAGACCCCTTCACTTTTCCCACATTTTGTTACGTTACAGCCTTATTCTAAAATGGATTAAGTAAATGTTTTTACTCATCAATCTACACACAATACCCCTTAATCAAAAAAGCGAAAAACAGGTTTTTAGACATTTTTGCAAATTTTATTTAAAAAAAGTATTCAGACCCTTTGCTATGAGACTTGAAATTTGAGCTCAGGTGCATCCTGTTTCCATTGATCATCCTTGATGTTTCTACAACTTGGAGTCCACTTGTGGTAAATTCAATTGATTGGACATGATTTGGAAAGGCACACACCTGTCTATATAAGGTCTCACAGTTGACAGTGCATGTCAGCGCAAAAACCAAGCTATGAGGTCGAAGGAATTGTCAGTAGAGCTCCGAGACAGGATTGTGTTGAGGCACAGATCTGGGGAAGGGTACCAAAACATTTCTGCAGCATTGAAGGTCCCCAAGAACACAGTGGCCTACATCATTTTTAAATGGAAGATGTTTGAAACCACCAAGACTCTTCCTAGAGATGGCCGCCCGGCCAAACTGGGTAGAAGGGTCTTGGTCAGGGAGGTGACCAAGAACCCGATGATCACTCTGACAGAGCTCTAAAGTTCCTCTGTGGAGATGGGAGAACCTTCCAGAAAGACAACCATCTCTGCAGCACTCCACCAATCAGGCCTTGATGAGTAGAGTGACCAGACGGAAGCCACTCCTCAGTAAAAGGCACATAACAGCCCGCTTGGAGTTTGCCAAAAGGCACCTAAAGGACTCAGACCATGAGAAGCAAGATTCTCTGGTCTGATGAAACCAAGATTGAACTCTTTGGCCTAAATGACAAGTGTCACGTCTGGAGGAAACCTGGCACCATACCTACAGTGAAGCATGGTGGTGGCAGCATCATGCTGGCAGCATCATTCTGTGGGGATGTTTTTCAGTGGCAGGGACTGGGAGACCAGTCAGGATCGAGGCAAAGATGAACGGAGCAAAGTACAGAGAGATCCTTGATGAAAAGCCCGGACTTGAACCCGATCTAACATCTCTGGAGAGACCTGAAAATAGCTGTGCGGCAACTCTCCCCATCCAACCTGACAAAGCTTGGGAGGATCTGCAGAGAAGAACGGGAGAATCTCCCCAAATACAGGTGTGCCAAACTTGTAGCGTCATACCCAAGAAGACTTGAGGCTGTAATCGCTGCCAAAGGCGCTTCAACAAAGTGCTGAGTGAAGGGTCTGAATACTTATGTAAATGTAATATTTCAGTTTCTATTTGATAAATTAGCAAACATTTCTAAACCTGTTATTGCTTTTTCATTATGGGGTATTAATACATTTTAGAGTAAGGCTGTAACCTAACAAAATGCGGAAAAAGCCGCCTCAAACCTTTTTAAAGATAATTTGGCAGTACGTCCAACCGGCCTCACAACCGCAGACCACGTGTAACCACGCCAGCCCAGGACATCCACATCCGGGTTCTTCACCTGCGGGACGTCTGAGACCAGCCTCCCGGACAGCTAATGAAACTGTGGGTTTGCACAACCGAAGAATTTCTGCACAAACTGTCAGAAACCGTCTCCGAGAAGCTCATCTGCGTGCTCGTCGTCCTCACCTTGACCTGACTGCAGATCTGCGTCGTAACCAACAGTGGGCAAATGCTCACCTTCGATGGCCACTGGCACGCTGGATAAGTGTGCTCTTCACGGATGAATCCCAGTTTCAACTGTACCTGGCAGACAGCGTGTATGGCATCGTGTGGGCGAGCGGTTTGCTGATGTCAACGTTGTGAAGAGAGTGCCCCATGGTGGCGGTGGGGTTATGGTATGGGCAGGCACAAGCTACGAACAACTAACACAATTGCATTTTTATCAATGGCAATTTGAATGCACAGCGATACCGTGACGGGATCCTGAGGCCCATTGTCGTGCCATTCATCCGCCGCCATCACCTCATGTTTCAGCATGATAATGCACGACCCCATGTCGCAAGGATCTGTACACAATTCCTGGAAGCTGAAAATGTCCCAGTTCTTCCATGGCCTGCATACTCACCAGACATATATCACCCATTTGAGCATGTTCGGGATGCTTTGGATCGACATGTACGACAGCGTGTTACAGTTCCCGCCAATATCCAGCTACTTCGCACAGCCATTGAAAAGGAGTGGGACAACATTCCACAGGCCACAATTGACAGCCTGATCAACTATGCGAAGGAGATGTTGTGCTGCATGAGGCAAATGGTGGTCATACCAGATACTGACTGGTTTTCTGATCCACACCTCACCTTTTTTGTTTTTTTGGTATCTGTGACCAACAGATGCATATCTTTATTCCCAGTCATGTGAAATCCATAGATTACGGCCTAATGAATTTATTTCAATTGACTGATTTCCTTATATGAACTGTAACTATATATTTCTGTTCAGTGTAATTTGTTAGTAAACTTTCCAAATGTCGACAAAACAAAATACAAGATGGGATCTGTTTCTCTGTAAAATGTATTATGCGAGAAATGGAGGTGGAAATACTTTTTTTTGTTTTTATGCGCAAAAATTGATATAATAACCATCATATAGAAGTAAACTTGGGAGTCACACAATGACATGTTGTGTGGTCCCTCCCACTACGACTCGGGAAGCCATGCAGTTTTATTAGGCTACAGATGAAAAATAAGTTATGATGAATTTCACAGGGTGGTGAAAGTGCAAAGGTGATGAGCTTGATGATCCTTTCCAATAAATATCAAGGGTCTTATTCTGGTGACATGATGATCAATGCTTGGCTGCCGTTTTGACACACACAAAAAAATAACCTCGCTCTTTTTGTCCATAATCTTGTAATGTAGGCTATACTCGCACTGTATCTGCCAGCTGTTGGCTAGAGCGCACGTGCCACTACCAGAGTTGGCGCATTCACTGTATAGAGTCGCCACACTGTGTTGCTTCCGTCCCTCTCCTCGCCCCCAACCTGGGCTTGAACCAGGGACCCTCTGCACACATCGACAACAGTCACCCTCGATGCACCGTTACCCGTCGTTCCACAAAAGCCGCGGCTCTTGCAGAGCAAAGGGAAACAACTACTTCAAGGGTCTCAGAGCGAGTGACGTCACCGATTTGAAACGCTACTAGCGCGCACCGCTAACTAGCGCGCAACGCTAACTAGCTAGCCATTTCACACCGGTTACATATACAGGTGTAATGTTCGCTATATAACAACATGTTTTGTGACAGAACCATCAGTAGAGTGTAAAATGCGATGGAAACCCATTTAAAAAACTTGTATTTTTTTATTGGGAATGGGAATTTAACCACAAGTTATTTTTATGTGCGCTATGTCATCACGCACAGACATTTACCAGCAACAAGTCAATTTGATGGAAACATCTCTGGTGGGGAAAATGTGCATATTTTATTTGAGGATTTTAGAATATTCACATAAATCTGTCGCCAATTGGATGGAAACCTAGCTACGGATCTACACACACATACCCCATAATGTCAGTAGAATTATGTTTTTAGACATATTTACAAATTGATTTAAAAGACATTTCAGCTTTATTTGAGACTAAGTATTCAACCCCTTTTTGTTATGGCAAGCTTAAATATACTGAACAAAAATATAAACGCAACATGCAACAGTTTGAAAGATTTTACTGAGTTACACTTCATAGAAGGAAATCAGTCTATTGAAATACATCCATTTGGCTTAATCGATGGATTTCACATGACTCGGCAGGGGCGCAGCCATGGGTGGGCCTGGGTGGGTATAGGCCCACCCACTTGGGATCCAGGTCCACCCACTGGCCAGCCAGCCCCAGCCAATCAGAGTGAGTTTATCCCCACAAAAGAGCTTTATTACAGACAGAAATACTCCTTTTTGTCAGATGTTACTATGGTATACTGAAGTATAATTACAAGCATTCCATAAGTGTCAAAAGCTTTTATTGACAATTACATTAAGTTTATGCAAAGAGTCAATATTTGCAGTGTTGTTGACCCTTCTTTTTCAAGACTTCTGCAATCCGCCCTGGCATGCTGTCAATTAACTTCTGGGCCACATCCTGACTGATGGCAGCCCATTCTTGCATTATCAATGCTTGGAGTTTGTCAGAATTTGTGGGGTTTTGTTTGTCCACCCACCTCTTGAGGATCGACCACAAGTTCTCAATGGGATTACGGTCTGGGGAGTTTCCTGGCCATGGACCCAAAATGTCGATGTTTTGTTGTTCCCAGAGCCACTTAGTTATCACTTTTGCCTTATGGCAAGGTGCTCCATCATGCTGGAAAAGGCATTGGTCGTCACCAAACTGTTCTTGGATGGTTGGGAGAAGTTGCTCTTGGAGGATGTGTTGGTACCATTCTTTATTCATGGCTGTGTTCTTAGGCAAAATTGTGAGTGAACCCACTCCCTTGGCTGAGAAGCAACCCCACACATGAATGGTCCAAGACGCTTTACTTGTTGGCATGACACAGGACTGATGGTAGCGCTCACCTTGTCTTCTCTGGACAAGGTGTTTTTCCGGATGCCCCAAACAATCGGAATGGGGATTCATCAGAGAAAATGACTTTACCCCAGTCCTCAGCAGTCCAATCCCTGTACCCTTTGCAGAATATCAGTCTGTCCCTGATGTTTTTCCTGGAGAGAAGTGGCTTCTTTGCTGCCCTTCTTGACACCAAGCCATCCTCCAAAAGTCTGCGCCTCACTGTGCGTGCAGATGCACTCACACCTGCCTGCTGCCATTCCGGAGCAAGCTCTGCACTGGTGGTGCCCCGATCCCGCAGCTGAATCAACTTTAGGAGACGGTCCTGGCGCTTGCTGGACTTCCTTGGGCGCCCTGACGCCTTCTTCACAACAATTGAATCTCTCTCCTTGAAGTTCTTGATGATCCGAAAAATGGTTGATTTTAGGTGCAGTCTTACTAGCAGCAATATCCTTGCCTGTGAAGCCCTTTTTGTGCAAAGCAAAGATGACGGCACGTGTTTCCTTGCAGGTAACCATGGTTAACAGAGGAAGAACAATGATTTCAAGCACCACCCTCCTTTTAAAGCTTCCAGTGTGTTATTCTAACTCAATCAGCATGACAGAGTGATCTCCAGCCTTGTCCTCGTCAACACTCTCACATGTGTTAACGAGAAAATCACGACTGTGTATATACACCTGTTCTGAAAGGTCCCCAGAGTCTGCAACACCACTAAGCAAGCGGCACCATGAAGACCAAGGAGCTCTCCAAACAGGTCAGGGACAAAGTTGTGGAGAAGTACAGATCAGGGTTGGGTTATAAAAAAAATATCAAACTTTGAACATCCCACGGAGCACCATTTAAAAATCAATTTTAAAACAAATTGAAAGAATATGGCACCACAACAAACCTGCCAAGAGAGGGCCGCCCACCAAAACTCACGGACCAGGCAAGGAGGGCATTAATCAGAGGCAACAAAGAGACCAAAGATAACCCTGAAGGAGCTACAAAGCTCCACAGCGGAGATTGGAGGATCTGTCCATAGGACCAGTTTAAGCCGTACACTCCACAGAGTTGGGCTATACGGAAGAGTGGCCAGAAAAGCCATTGCTTAAAGAAAAAAATAAGCAAACACGTTTGGTGTTCGCCAAAAGCCATCTGGGAAATGTCTTGGAATGGCCTAGTGAAAGCCCAGACCTCAATCCAATTGAGAATCTGTGGTATGACTTAAAGATTGCTGTACACCAGCGGAACCCATCCAACTTGAAGGAGCTGGAGCAGTTTTGCCTTGAAGAAAGTGCAAAAATCCCAGTGCCTAGATGTCCCAAGCTTATAGAGACATACCCCAAGAGACTTGCAGCTGTAATTGCTGCAAAAGATGGCTCTACAAAGTATTGACTTTGGGGGGGTGAATAGTTATGCACGCTCAAGTTTCTGAACGCTTATTTCTTGTTTGTTTCACAATGAAAAATATTTTGTATCTTCAAAGTGGTAGGCATGTTGTGTAAATCAAATGCACTCACTAACTGTAAGTCACTCTGGATAAGAGCGTCTGCTAAATGACTAAAATGTAAATTATACAAACCGCCCAAAAAAATCTAATTCCAGGTTGTAAGGCAACAAAATAGTAAAAATGCCAAGGGGGGGGGTGAATACTTTCACAAGCCACTGTACAGGCGTCCTTCCTAACTTAGTTGCCGGAGAGGAAGGAAACCGCTCGGGGGTTTCACCATGAGGCCAATGGTGACTTTTAAAACAGAGGTTAATGGCAGTGATACGGAGAGAACTGAGGATGGATCAACAACGTTGTAGTTACTCCACAGTACTAACCTAAATTAGAGTGAAAAGAAGGAAGCCTGTACAGAATAAAAAATATTCCAAAACATGCATCCTGTTTGCAATAAGGCACTAAAGTAATACTGCAAAAAATGTGGTAAAGAAATGAACTTTTTGTCCTGAATACAAAGTGTTTTGTTTGGGGCAAATCCAACATGGCACTGAGTACCACTTCATATTTTCAAGCATGGTGGTGGCTGCATCATGTTATGGGTATGCTTGTCATCGGCAAGGATAAAAATAAACGGAATAGAGTACCAAAGGCGAATATATTGGTAAGTCACCTTGTCCGGCAGAGATTTACGGTTATCAAATCGTCACTCCGGGGTAAGCCTACACGAAACACAGCCCTTATTTTAAGTGTTTCTAAAATCCCCTATGGGGGAAAATGAATGGTGGGGGAAAAAACGATTTGGAACCATTTCCCTGTTTTGACCGCTAGGTTTTATGGGTATTATGACACATGCACTGTAGGTCTCAATAGAGCTAAGCACAGGCAAAATCCTAGAGGAAAACTTGGTTCAGTCTGCTTTCCACCAGACACTGGGAGGCTAATTCACTCTTCAGCAGGACATGCTTAAAACACAAGGCCAAGTATACACGAGTTGGTTACCAAGACAACATCGAATGTTCCCGAGTGGCCTAGTTACAGTTAATCCCACTTTAACACATCAAAATGTGGAAAAAGTCAAGGGGTGTGAATACCTATCTGAAGGCAGTGTGTATACGTTACTTATTTTACAGCTTTCTCCTGCTACTTATTTTTTATTAGACTTTTGATTATTTGTATTTGTACTGCACTGTTGAGGGAGCTTGAAAGTAAGCATTTCACTGCACCATTTATATCTACTGTGTACGTGACGATTAAACATGGATTTGATATGGTGTTTCCAAACAGGAGTCAAAATCATCTCACACTCACTCTTTCCAAGACCTGTCAGGTTAGGGTTGAATTAATGAATTTTCTGTGACTCCCTCAATCTCTCTCCCCCCTCCCTCCCTCTCTCTCCCCCCTCTCAGAGCTTCTCTCCCAGTTGTCGGGGGTGCGTAGGTCAGCGGGCGGCCAGCTGAATTCAGGTCCTTCAGCCTCCCAGCTACAGCAGCTCCAGGTAGGTCAGAGGTCAGAGGTTAGAGAGGCAAGCCAGCAACCAGAGGGTCGCAGGTTTGAATCCCAGCTCGCTCCTTTTGCTGGTGTCAGTATCCTAGAATCTATTATGCCCTTAAAGCACAGCACTGAAACCCTTACTCTCCTACTTCTCCTGAGCCCCCTAATCTTCTACTACTCCTGAACCCCTTAACTCCTACTGCTCCTGAACCCCCTTAAGTCCTACGGCTCCTGAACCCCCTTAACTCCTACGGCTCCTGAACCCCCTTAACTCCTACTGCTCCTGAACCCCCTTAAGTCCTACGGCTCCTGAACCCCCTTAACTCCTACTGCTCCTGAACCCCCTTAACTCCTACGGCTCCTGAACCCCATTAACTCCTACTGCTCCTGAACCCCCTTAACTCCTACTGCTGCTGAACCCCCTTAACTCCTACTGCTGCTGAACCCCCTTAACTCCTACTGCTGCTGAACCCCCTTAACTCCTACTGCTGCTGAACCCCCTTAACTCCTACTGCTCCTGAACCCCATTAACTCCTACTGCTCCTGAACCCCCTTAACTCCTACTGCTGCTGAACCCCCTTAATTCCTACTTCTCTTTCTCCTCCTCCACTAGATGCAGCTCCAGTTGGAACGACAGCAGACCCAGGCTGCCAGACAGCAGCTGGAGTCGGCCCGGAGCGCCACGCAACGCGGCAGCCGCGCCTCCACCAACGCAGGGCTGAACGCCAACCCCAGCCCAGGGCATCACAACGCCAACCCCAGTTCCAACTCTTGTAACCCCAGTCCCCAACCCAGGGCAGCACGAGTCCAACACACACACACAGAACAGCAACTCCCAGTTCCTCCTCAACAGGTTAGCTACTGTCTGCTACACTTCATTTAACCTTTTTCATTTTTAGTGGTTATTCTAATTTAGAGAATTATCTCTTGAACAAGAGACTTGTTCTGAGGCTGTCTGCTACATGCAGGGAATGGATTGTGTTTAATGGAGCGCCATCTCTCTCTCTCCCCCCTCCCCCTTTCTCTCCCACTCCCTTTCTCCCCCCCCTCCCCCTTCCTCCCCCCACTCCCCTTTCTCTCCCCCTCCCCTTCTACCCCCTTCTCTCCCCCTCTCCTCTTCTCTCCCCCTCTCCCCTTCCCCCCAACTCCCCTTTCTCTCCCCCTCCTTCTCTCCCGCTCTCCCCCTCTCCTCCCCTCCCCCTCCCCCTTTCTCTCCCCTCCCCCTTCTCTCCACCCTCCCCTCTCTCCCCCCCCCCTTTCTCTCCCCACTCCCCCTTTCTCTCCCGCCTCCCCCTTTCTCTCCCACTCCCCTCCTTTCTCTCCCTCGCCCCTCTCTCCCCACTCCCCCTTTCTCTCCCGCCTCCCCCTTTCTCTCGCCCCCCCTCCCCCTTTTTCTCTCCCCACTCCTCCCCCTTTCTCTCCCCACTTCCCCCCCCTTTCTACCCCCATCCCCTTTCTCTCCCCACTCCCCATTCTCTCTCCCAACTCCCCCCCCCCTTTCTCCCGCCTACAAGACTGAGTGAGCCGAGGTTGTCGGAGGCGGAGCGTCAGCTGAATGAGGGCCAATGGGCGGACCGCTCTCTCTTCGTCACCGAGCTCCTCCTCTCCACCCTGCTGGCCAATCCCGAACACAGCGAAGACGACGATCTCCATGACTACCACGACGCCGTGACCCGAGGCCCGGACGCATTCAGTGATTTCGTCACCTTCGGAGACATGGGCTGCGCGGAGGTCATGACCTTGGACGTGGCGTTGGAGAACCTCAACCTCCGAGAACAGAAGGAGCAGCAGCCCCCGTCTCTTTGACGACGTCACCGCCGGCTGCAACGTTTAAAACCACCGACTGCCGTTACTGACCGGTCACAGCTCTTTTCAGCTTTGGTTGTTATTATTTTTGTTTTCTTTATTTGGCTGGGTGATGTCATCTCACTTCTGTCACCCCTCCCTCCCTCGACCCACCCCCCCCACCCACCCCCCCGTTGTGTACCTGAAGTCGGGAGCAAGACGTGTGAACGTGAGAGAGCGAGTGTCTGAACTACATATATATATAAAAATCTATATAAATAAATCTATATGAAAGAAAGCCAATAATCAACTCGGCATAAAGCTGTGTGTTTTTGACCCTAACAGCCCAAGGTAGGACGGGCAGGTAGCCGTTTGATAATGATCATAAACGAGGGCAGCACAGGCACACAGGGAGAGACAGACAGACTCTCCCCAGGAGCTGAGCTGCTCTCTGTTAATGGTTATTAATAATAAAACGTGCTTGGCTGGTTTACCACAACAAACGTTGGCATGTTGAGATTTTTCACCCTTAACTACTTTCCATTAAGCACCATATTAAACCGCTATCAAAATGGGGAGTTAGACGTTTAATCTCTATGATGATACCCATCTCTTTAGTCCTAAATTATAGCTTATTTGTTCAGTCTCCATGGGTACTTACCTAACCTGCTATCATTATAGGGGTGTTCAATTCTACACAAATTATTATTTTCCTCAGACTTGATTGATGGTTTTAATTTATTTAGCTCCTCCCCCTACCCAGGATGACATCACTTATGGGGTCATGTGACCTTGCTTTGTGCCAACTGAACTGTGGACCCTTTTGAATTTCATATGCAAACTGTATGCAGTTTCTGTGGATATAATACTACATATGCGCTACATAAAGAGGTCATAGACATGCAACATGGGAAGGCCATAGGACAATCACATGAAAACTAACCTGATTCTATTCTCTCTCCTGACAGTTTCCTTGTTGTTTTGCTGGACTGATAGGCCTTTTCTCAATTGGATTTGCTCAACTCCTGCATCCTCCCTCTTCCATCCTCTGGCCTCCTTTTGAAAAAGGTCAAAGGTAATCGAGGAGAGGGGAAAGTGGAGGAAAATGCGCTTGTATAAAATGACTCCTCCAATCGCGCGTCATCGGGCAAATTACGTTTACAGGGTGGAATCCCCAAATAAATGTATAAAGTGATAACTAATGTATCTAGTTGTGCAAACATTTTATAGATAAAAGGATAAATAGAATACAGTTTTAAATGTTTGCATGCTTTTCTTCTTTTGAGAAAACAATAGCTGATTCAAAGGGGGTGTGGCTGATTTCAAAACTCTTCCACGACGGACTCAGGGTAGGATACACTTGTGCTTCCTCACCAAAAGGAGCCCATCGAAGAGGGGAGGGACCGTCTTCCGTTTGCCTACTAACAAATTGACACTTCGACCACTCCATCGCTTATCGGTTTCCGGGTCACGGAGGAGAGTGGAGGATAGACTTTTGCCCAAATGAGAAAAGGTGATTTAAAGACGATGATCCACCACAATGTGGCTGGAGAGATCCTGTATGCTCTCTCTCTCTCTCTCCATTGGTTTGACTGAGGAAAGATCCTGTATGCCTCTCTCTCTCTCTCCATTGGTTTGACTGAGGAAAGATCCTGTATGCTCTCTCTCTCTCTCCATTGGTTTGACTGAGGAAAGATCCTGTATGCCCTCTCTCTCTCTCTCTCTCTCCATTGGTTTGACTGAGGAAAGATCCTGTATGCTCTCTCTCTCTCTCCATTGGTTTGACTGAGGAAAGATCCTGTATGCTCTTCTCTCTCTCCTCTCCATTGGTTTGACTGAGGAAAGATCCTGTATGCTCTCTCTCTCTCTCTCCATTGGTTTGACTGAGGAAAGATCCTGTATGCCATTGGTTGGTTTCTCTGTGTGAGAATTAGACCTTGTATGCCTCCCCTGCTACCTTAACAAATGCCATGTATACTGATGCCATGTTGTTCTGGGCGTTATGGAAAAGGCCAAGACAGGGTAAACTGTTCAACTTGGAGAACAATAAAACACGTTGGATGTAAAATGAACTACACCAATCTTGCTGTGTGTGTGTGTGTGTATCAAGAGTCTCCTATAAATGCGACCTTCCTGTCACTGCTGTGCCGCCAGGAGATGTCGGCCTACTGGGAAACATTTAGAAGGTGTGTTCCCCAGGCAGCTGATGACCGGTAGCTGGCCTACATTGATGGAGGTGCGACAGGCAGACAGAGATGCCCAGCAGGTAACCATCTATCCATACATACATCTATGTGGTCCTCTGTAGCTCAGCTGGTAGAGCACGGCGCTTGTAACGCCAGGGTAGTGGGTTCGATCCCCGGGAACACCCATACGTAAAAATGTATGCACGCATGACTGTAAGTCGCTTTGGATAAAAGCGTCTGCTAAATGGCATTATTATAAATGATATCTAACAGTAACCAGGCAGACAGAGATGCCCAGCAGGTAACCATCTATCCATACATACATGTATCTAACTACACTGCTCAAAAAAATAAAGGGAACACTTAAACAACACAATGTAACTCCAAGTCAATCACACTTCTGTGAAATCAAACTGTCCACTTAGGAAGCAACACTAATTGACAATACATTTCACATGCTGTTGTGCAAATGGAATAGACAACAGGTGGAAATTATAGGCAATTAGCATGACACCCCCCAATAAAGGACTGGTTTTGCAGGTGGTGACCACAGACCACTTCTCAGTTCCTATGCTTCCTGGCTGATGTTTTGGTCACTTTTGAATGCTGGCGGTGCTTTCACTCTAGTGGTAGCATGAGACGGAGTCTACAACCCACACAAGTGGCTCAGGTAGTGCAGCTCATCCAGGATGGCACATCAATGCGAGCTGTGGCAAGAAGGTTTGCTGTGTCTGTCAGCGTAGTGTCCAGAGCATGGAGGCGCTACCAGGAGACAGGCCAGTACATCAGGAGATGTGGAGGAGGCCGTAGGAGGGCAACAACCCAGCAGCAGGACTGCTACCTCCGCCTTTGTGCAAGGAGGAGCAGGAGGAGAACTGCCAGAGCCCTGCAAAATGACCTCCAGCAGGCCACAAATGTGCATGTGTCTGCTCATACGGTCAGAAACAGACTCCATGAGGAGGGTATGAGGACCCGATGTCCACAGGTGGGGGTTGTGCTTACAGCCCAACACCGTGCAGGACGTTTGGCATTTGCCAGAGAACACCAAGATTGGCAAATTCGCCACTGGCGCCCTGTGCTCTTCACAGATGAAAGCAGGTTCACACTGAGCACGTGACAGACGTTACATAGTCTGGAGACGCCGTGGAGAACGTTCTGCTGCCTGCAACATCCTCCAGCATGACCGGTTTGGCGGTGGGTCAGTCATGGTGTGGGGTGGCATTTCTTTGGGGGGCCGCACAGCCCTCCATGTGCTCGCCAGAGGTAGCCTGACTGCCATTAGGTACCGAGATGAGATCCTCAGACCCCTTGTGAGACCATATGCTGGTGCGGTTGGCCCTGAGTTCCTCCTAATGCAAGACAATGCTAGACCTCATGTGGCTGGAGTGTGTCAGCAGTTCCTGCAAGAGGAAGGCATTGATGCTATGGACTGGCCCGCCCGTTCCCCAGACCTGAATCCAATTGAGCACATCTGGAACATCATGTCTCGCTCCATCCACCAACGCCACGTTGCACCACAGACTGTCCAGGAGTTGGCGGATGCTTTAGTCCAGGTCTGGGAGGAGATCCCTCAGGAGACCATCCGCCACCTCATCAGGAGCATGCCCAGGCGTTGTAGGGAGGTCATAGAGGCACGTGGAGGCCACACACACTACTGAGCCTCATTTTGACTTGTTTTAAGGACATTACATCAAAGTTGGATCAGCCTGTAGTGTGGTTTTCCACTTTAATTTTGAGGGTGACTCCAAATCCAGACCGCCATGGGTTGATCAATTTGATTTCCATTGATAATTTTTGTGTGATTTTGTTGTCAGCACATTCAACTATGTAAAGAAAAAAGTATTTCATAAGATTATTTCATTCATTCAGATCTAGGATGTGTTATTTTAGTGTTCCCTTTATTTTTTTGAGCAGTGTATAACCCTAACCCAGCAGGTAACCATCTATCCATACATACATCTATCTAACTATAACCCTAACCCAGCTGGTAACCATCTATCCATACATACATACATCTATCTAACTATAACCCTAACCCAGCTGGTAACCATCTATCCATACATACATCTATCTAACTATAACCCTAACCCAGCTGGTAACCATCTATCCATACATACATCTATCTAACTATAACCCTAACCCAGCTGGTAACCATATATCCATACATACATCTATCTAACTATAACCCTAACCCAGCTGGTAACCATATATCCATACATACATCTATCTAACTATAACCCTAACCCAGCAGGGAACCATCTAACTGTAACCCTAACACATTATATCTATCTCTAACCCCTCTGAAGAAGCCTAGTGTGCTGAAATGACAGGAGGGCCTTTTTTAATTGACTTAATCTTTCTAGAAACTTCTAAATGAACCTTATGGATTTCATTTTACATTTTAGTCATTTAGCAGACGCTCTTATCCAGAGCGACTTACAGTTAGTGAGTACATACATTATATTTTTCATACTGGCCCCCCGTGGGAATCGAACCCACAACGCTGGCGTTGCAAACACCATGCTCTACCAACTGAGCTACATCCCTGCCGGCCTGTACTCTGGAGCGGGATCGATTTGGAGGGTCCGTCATGGTCTGGGGCGGTGTGTCACAGCATCATCGGACTGAGCTTGTTGTCATTGCAGGCAATCTCAACGCTGTGCGTTACAGGGAAGACATCCTCCTCCCTCGTGTGGTACCCTTCCTGCAGGCTCATCCTGACATGACCCTCCAGCATGACAATGCCCCCAGTCATACTGCTCGTTCTGTGCGTGATTTCCTGCAAGTCAGGAATGTCAGTGTTCTGCCATGACGAGCGAAGAGCCCGGATCTCAATCCCATTGAGCACGTCTGGGACCTGTTGGATCGGAGGGTGAGGGCTAGGGCCATTCCCCCCAGAAATGTCCGGGAACTTGCAGATGCCTTGGTGGAAGAGTGGGGTAAAATCTCACAGCAAGAACTGGCAAATCTGGTGCAGTCCATGAGGAGGAGATGCACTGCAGTACTTAATGCAGCTGATGGCCACACCAGATACTGACTGACTTTTGATTTTGACCCCCCCCTCCTTTGTTCAGGGACACTTTATTCAATTTCTGTTAGTCACATGTCTGTGGAACTTTTTCAGTTTATGTCTGTTGTTGAATCTTGTTATGTTAAGTTTGCTGAAAATAAACACAGTTGACAGTGAGAGGACGTTCCTTTTTTTGCTGAGTTTATATATACACTACCAGTCAAATGTTTGGACACACCTACTCATTCAAGGGGTTTTCTTTATTTTTACAATTTTTTACATTGTAGAATAATAGTGAAGACATCAAAACTATGAAATAACACATATGGAATCATGTAGCAACCAAAAAAGTGTTAAACAAATGAACATTCTCTCAACCAGCTTCATGAGGTAGTCACCTGGAATGCATTTAAATTAACAGGTGTGCCTTGTTAAAAGTTCATTTGTGGAATTTATTTCCTTATTTGAGCCAATCAGTTGTGTTGTGACAAGGTGGGGGGGTATACAGAAGATAGCCCTATTTGGGAAAAGACCAAGTCCATATTATGGCAAGAACAGCTCAAATAAGCAAAGAGAAACGACAGTCCATCAGTACTAAATTAAGAACTTTGAGTGCAGTCACAAAAACCACAAGCGCTATGATGAAACTGGCTCTCATGAGGACCGCCACTGGAATGGAAGACCCAGAGTTACCTCTGCTGCAGAGGATAAGTTCATTAGAGTTAATAGCCTCAGAAATTCCAGTCCAAATAAATGCTTCACAGAGTTCAAGTCACAGACACATCTCAACAAACTGTTCAGAGGAGACTGTGTGAAGGCTGTGTGGGTGAACGGGATGATCTCTGCATGTGTAGTTCCCACCGTAAAGCATGGAGGAGTTATGGTGTGGGGGTGCTTTGCTGGTGACACTGTGATTTATTTAGAATTCATGGCACACGTAACCAGCATGGCTACC